GGAGCCGCTGCGGCCACGCACAGGATCGGTGGCCGCCCGCTCCCCCAGCGGGGCCCCCGGCCCCACGCCCTGCCGCCGGCTCTCCTTGCAGCTCCGCTGTCACCCATTTTACAAACCACATGATTGCACACAGCTTTGCGTCAGCCTCGGCATGTCAATACAATCCGTATGCATTTAACCATAAATTCATTTATAAGCTAAACACATGTTGTTTTTCTTTATGGCAAAGTGACAAACACAGTGCCGGAGTCCCTGCACGAGCCCAACAGCTCGCTCCACTCCTCCCAGCTCCTCTGGAAAGCATCTCAGAAGGCACCTTCCCTTCGGTTTGGGATGGGAGCCCCCTTCCCTCCGCTGTGATTCAATTGCCTCTGCAGCACCTCATTTCTGGGGCACGATCAGCAGCTCTGACATACCACAATCACTTGTTGAACAATAACAAATTCTTGATGTCCTCCAGAAAAAAAAAATCCAGATCACAGTGACGTTATGAACACAGTCTAGCAGCTACATTTGGACTGGCTGATTTTTCCTGCATTTTATTTCCTCAACACCTAGCTAATCTGTGGCAAAGTATATTTAAAGAATATTTATGAAAAGGATGTAAAGAAATGTAAATTATCACTGAAGAGGCATTCCCCATCTGTATTTTTCATGCAAACAGCTTCATGTATCTCATGTTACTGAACCAGAACTGCTGCAATGGACATGTCTCATCTATTGACAGTAAACAAGCTTTTACCCATCTGAATGCAACAACATGCACTTTATTATTCACACTTAGGAAAGCTGCCAGTTGTACTCCCTGTCCAGGAAGTCTGAATGTTTGCTTTTCTATCTCCATTTGCCAAATATAATTGGTTGCTATGTCAGTTTATTTTAAATCAGATCCCATAAAAAAGGGAGAAGTGGGGGAGGAGGGACGCTTTTAACTTCTCAGATTTTGGAACATTTTATCCCATTAACTTGCAACACTGCCTGGAGAAGAGGGAAAGCATGCTTTCTTGCAGAATGAAGCAACTGAAATTCTCCGTAACACAGCACTTTGGTGTGTTTCACTTTACTTGGTTTAGCAGCCTCATTAACTAATCAGACTTCTCCATGTCCCTTCCTAAACATAGTCAATTATCCCTGTTAAGAAAGATACTACATTGGCACATATTTACATGGTTAAATTTTGAAGGGTTTCTGCATCCATGTACACCACAAGATTTTTGCTTATTTGTAAGACTCCAAGGTAAATTGGGTTAATTGTGGCAAATCTCTGCTACTTTCCCTTTGTTCTTGGGTCCTCTCTGGGCAGAACCAACACCACTGTAGAAAGTTTTCAGCCATCTTTCACATCCTTTAACTGACTGGAAAAAGGACCAAAGGTACGGAGTCCTTTTGCAGAAAAGTCAGCTAAAATTCCTCCTCCTCCATTGCCATAATCCTAGCTTCCCCTCCTCTCTTCCTCTACTACCTGTGTATTTGGGGACATCTGTACTCCATGTTGAATTGTTTCAGAGAATCTAGAGTATTTTAAAGCACAATTTTGATGCTTTGGCAGAAATCTCCAATTTTTTCATTACTGAAATCAGCAAAAACCCTACATGAAAAAAACCCAACACTTGTTCAATATTTGGAGATGAAATTCTACTTATTTTGCAGTTCTTTTGTGCTACCAATTGTTCGAGGTTTTAACGTTAACCACCTATCAGGATGAACAAAAGAGCTCATTCGTGTAAAGTTTTCTCCATGCTAGAACGAGTCTACCAGTAGAGACATACTGATAAAATTGTATCCGCAAACCTTCTTACTACTGGCAAAAAGGTGGCCTTTTGGTGTATTGCATATAGTGCTACAGCAACAAAAACACCTTACTTCACACATCCCAAGTTGCCATTCTTCACCAGCAGTAGCTTTTGTCCATGCTCTGAGTATCACCAAAACACAGTTTTAGAATGAACTTGTATTTTCCAACCTCTGGTCTAAATCATGTGTTTGAAACCCAGTGCTACTTGCAACAAAATATGAGATTTCAGAACACAATTCAGCAATGCATGAGTTCTGTAATGGCAGAAGACAGCCACTCTGTAGATGAAATTTAGATTATCTTTCTTTTTTCCTCCTTATTTTAATAAAAGTCTGCAGCCAGCTCTAAAATGTTTCCACTGCACTGGATTATCTTGTCTGCCACAGCAGTCATCCTCTAAGAGACTATCCCTGCCAGAGCCTTCACTGCACTCTGCTGCAAGTTGTGCTTTGTAGATACAGGATATTACGCACAGAAAAATTATGTGCACAAGAACATAGGTTCACTTTCACAATCCTTTGAAAATCTGAACCAGATAACTTCCTAGATATTTTTAATAATTTCTGTGATTCTCTGATTTGATGAGTTACAATGTCCCTTTCCTTTCTTTCCTCTCATTTACTACTTTTTGCCTGGCCATTTTCTCCACTTATTTTGATCTCTCAAACACAGAGCCAGAGCAGCTGCCCTCTCCACTACTTGTACGTGGTCACTATGACTGATGCACTTTGTTCATATAATTCTTTTAATGGGATTGGTCCAAGTCCTATTGTTGCTGAAGGATTTATCATGTTGGCTTCCCAGTATTCCTTTTCTACTGACACGCACGTGTCTATAGATGGTTCTGTATATGAACAGAGATTGAACTTACACAAATGCAGGACCAATGATATTAATTTAACAATTGTTTTAATTTTTTGTTAATAAAGGCTACCTATTTGGAAATTACCTTCTTAACTTACACATTTACTCATTGAAATTGCACTTTTCTTCCACAATGTTTCAGTAGTGTATGAGGCAGAATTATACTATTTATACATATTATCACAACCTTTAAATTTTCCACATTTGCCGCAATTCCAAACAAGCTTCATACACAGCTGATGCATTGAGAAGTATTAAACTGCTTATACAAAGTTGTTGTATTGCCAACTGGAAAAAAACCCACAGGTTTTTTTTCCAAATTAACATAAGACTCTTGGATCATAATATTTACAGAAGCTCTGACCCGAGAGGGCTGGATTCTCACTCAGCTTCCATGAGGTTTTAGATGCCGAAAAAACCCCGTGGGCTACGGGAGAATTCCAGTGCTCCAGAGCCACCAGGTTTGGAGTAATTGAGGTCACATTCTCCCCACCTCCCAGAGATCTTGTCAGGGTCTTGCAAGGTCAAAAGTGGAAGTAGCTGGGAGTCCAGCATGCTGTAGGGATCCTGAGATACCCCGTAATCCACAAGCAGCCAAGGTCAGATGCTGCAAATCAAGGCCCCATTGGTGTCCAGTCTTTGTCTGTACCACCTTGCAGATGTCATGCAACAGAAAGCTCCCAAAACTCCGTCTTCTTCCAATACAGTATTGTATTTTTGCTAACTTAGTTTAGTATGGAAAAAAATTCTGAGGAGATACTGAAAAATCATCTATACATAAAAGCTGCACCAACTTAGGCATATTCCTAGTTATTTGGTTGGACACAATTAAGTGAGATTACCGACGACTTCTACCAATTTAATGTAACAGTTGAAGAATGGAGGAATAAATAATTGGGGCAAAAATTATAGGTTATCAAGGCCCAAGAAACATTTTCAAGTCTAGCTATATTCAGAATACGTCTATGTAAATAAAGCATTCTCTTAGCCATTTGGCCCACTCCTTGTACTGATCACATCACATTCCCAGTCAGCCTAATTTAGTAACTGTTAAAAGTTTTTCAAAAAGGAGTATGGGAACCGAAACGGACCCATTAACTGAAATGTTAACTAAATTTGAAATACAGAGATGCTACTAATGGTAATGCACAAGCTAGGAATATCGGTTCTACTCATGTCCCAGGTCAGTTTTCACGATTCGCGTTTAAAATTATTTTAGCAAATTTTAAATTCTGTTCATAACTCATAACACCTCCCTTTAGGGAAGGGCGGGTATCAGTCTGCTGATACGCACCAACAGGCTCATGGGAGGAATTGCTGGAAAACACCCTAGTAAGAACAGAGAGCAAGAAAAAAAGTCCAGGATAGCCTTGCTGGCCCCCCCTCCCTTTTCCTCCCACCTGGAAAGAGTTCAGACCACACCGCATTTCCTGCAGCATGATCTGCACTGAGGTCTGTAAGAGACCTCATACTTACCTGTGTGAGAGTAGATAAACCAGAGTGCTCCCGTTAGCAGGGCTCCGATTACAAATGCTGCAAAGGCAATGCCCACGACAGTCAGCGTGTCCAGACCGTAGAACACAGCTACAGAGGTAAACACACATAATAAGGACTTTTTATCTTCAGTGGCAAATACTGTTTTACAAAAATTCACCCTTACACTTTGATGGAAAAGTTTTTTAATAATTCATAGTTAATTAAGCACCATTTTAAGGAACAGACTAGCAGATTTGCATCAAGGAAATAAAAGTGATGCTTTCAGAGACTGGCTTCAGTCCAACCAACTGTTCCACATCACAAAGCAAAACCCCAGCTCAGCGCACCCAAATCTGGAAAACGTTGCAAAAATTAAGAATTTTCAGTTGGCTGTTAATAACTTGCTTTCAATTAAATATCCATATATCTTAAAAATGTGTTTTAAAAAGGCTGAGATTTTTGGCAAAACGTGCTTTTCATTTGAATGCCGTAACAGTCAAGCAAACTGTTCCCTACATCTCCTGCAAGTTCAGTCTGAAATCTAGGTGGAGAACGGAACTGCTGTGAGAGGGAAGAGATGCCAGCAAAAAGTCAGTGAAAACATAAATAGAAACAATTGTTTTTCACATTTGGCAATGCTTTCAATAACTGAAATTAATTCCAGAACACAAAAATAGAACCACACACACGCGCAAATCATTTCTAGGGGAGAGGCCCTTTTGCAGCACCATTTCAAGGGTAACAGCATCTGATTCCTGGATGTATTGCCCCCCAGTGTTAACCATCCAAACAGAGAAACTTTCAGCTTTTGTGTTTTTCTTTTTGGTGATTAGAAATACTTCAAAAAATAATCATCACTCTTTCAGCAATCATTTGGGGAAATTTCTTCTTACAAAACTGATTTCTAGTTTCAGGATTTTTAATGTCTCCCAGTGCACAAAATGGCTTAGTTCAGTGAATAACATTTTACTGACTAAGCTGGCCAGGAAATGAGCTGACTAGATCTTCTCAGTAGTATCCTTCAGTGGAATTTCAGTTCTCAAAAGACAACCAACACCCTCACTTCACACGTTCCTGCATCCAGCAGATGTCTCTACGGACACCACCCAGCCCAACAGCTCCTGAGATCCTCAGGGCCATTCCCCTTTTCCCCTTTTGACAAATGTCTTCCTGTTGGCAAGGGCCTTCAGGACCCATTTCTGGGTGCCTGCAACCAAGTTTGCATGTGCAACACCTGACAGACAGTGGCTTAGAAGGTTTTTCTCTCATTTCTTCTATGAGATGATTTCTGATTCCTTTGGCCACATCTGGTCATTTTAAATGCAAACAGAAAAGATTCTCCTAAACTCAGCTGTTTTTTCCACAAGGCACCAGCCAGTGTTCTCTCCTCTTAGAAGAAAACTTAGTGGAGAGGAGAAAGTATCATGGAGGCTGAAGTGGCAGAAGCATAATTTCTCATTCCCCTTGCTATTCTGAGCCAATTTAGTCCCAAAGACATGGGGACAGGAGCAGAGGAAAAAACCTTCTTTGCACTTCCTCTTCTAATCTTCCCTTTTCTCCATTCATTCTTGGTTTTGGCTACAAATCATCTTCACCTCCCTGTTTATTATTGTCTTCCAGTGTTGCTTCTCTCCTTTTCTTCCCTTCCTGGGTCTGTAATTGACCCTGGTTAATTCACTACGCCAAGACAACAGAAAAAACAAAGAAATTAATCCGTATCAAGTCAGTGACCTCATCTCAGCATGACCTATAAGTGCTGGTGCCAGAGTAACTGGGGATGTGGCCAGCTGCAGTGCAGGGTAGGAGTGAGGCTTGGAGTAGGACACAGGAGCTCCGTAAGATGGCATTGCTGCTGAAACCCTGGTATTGGGAAGCAGTGGCCTCAGCAGAGAAGGGAGAAATAACACACACACACATCAGCAAATGAACTTGCTGAGGCTGAGACTCTCAATGGTGTTTTCCCAAATTTGATTTTCGCATATGCAGAAGGTCACAGCCCTTCTCTCTAAACGCTGATGGGAATCTCTCAATCAGCAATACAGTCAAAATTCTGTTCTGTCCCAGAATTTAACACACATGCACACACACTCAGAAAGCTCGAAGATGATTTTCTTCATTGATCTAATATTTTCTAGACAAAAGTTTAAGGCTTAAAAGAGACTGGTTTCAGAGTTACTTACGTGGCTGTCTCACATTTGGCTTTGGAAGGGAAGGATCTAATTTAAAAAAAAAACAAACACAAAACGTTAATCAGACAGAGTTAATCAGAGACATACAGCCTACAAACTATGCAAACAACCTTCAGGATCTGATCCGATAGAAGACATTAATTGTAACTTTTACAAACCAGGAACTTCATGAAAACTTCTATTCGTATATTGATCATTCCTTGGGGGAACATATCTACAGTATAGTTCATGCATCATATATTTTGCTGGCAAGTACACTGCAACCTTTCCCACCCAGACGTCATCAGGTCTGACCCGCAGTAACTCTGGTTATCCCTATGTGGAGCTCTTAAAGAGCACAGTTTGCAAAGGCTGTTTTAAGGTGATTACATTCATCTGACTACTCACTAATCACAAACATGAGATACTAGCATGCTAAATCCCCCCAAAAAATTAAAATCAAACAATGGCTATCACCTCTAAAGAAAAGTCAGTATTATGGCATGATACACACTGCTTTGTCCAAATTGCATGAATGTGTTGATTCACACGTTTTCCTGTGTCCTACTTGGTATTCTGTCTTGGAAGTTGGGTGGGTTTTTTTGTTTTGTTTTGTTTTTTAATCATATATAGGAAATAAAAGATCATAGCTACTATATCAAAGCTATTATTCTTGGCAAGAATATCAAATATCATCATCATTATCAGCATGTAACAGAAAGAGACAAGTAAACATATGTTAAAAAATGAAGACTTTTCCTTTCTTTTGCTTAACTGGCTTCTCTTATCTTTCTCCAAGATTGCCACCTCAAGCAGAAGAGCCAGAGATTCTGGCTTCAGATCCAAGGACCTGTTTGGTTAGCTGCAGTTTGCTTCTGGATTGCCCAGTAACCTAGGGATCTCATTTAAATTCTGGCATATCTGAGTGTGTTCAGTGCAACAGCTGTAAAAGGATTTGATAAAACAGTGTCCCAATACTTGTTTTTGTATCTTTAGCAACTGGGGGAAAAAAAAGTTTAATTGCTATGTAAACATAGCAGCTCAAAAATACTAAAAATAAATATATTTATTTATTTAAAGTATTCTTAAACCAAGACTATGCTTCTAACTTCTAAAACCCAAATGGCAGCACTAAACTGCCAGCAATAGCTTGTAAGATCATTAGGCTCTGAGACACATATGCCTACAATATCAAAAAAAGCATTTTATTCTTCAACTGCATTACTGTCACATTTTCTAACATGAGTATCTCTTCCATATCACTCTTCGCAAGATGATAGGAAACAAGTGAGAACATAAAGAGCGGGGTGCGTGTGTGTGCATGCACAAATAAGCTGGAAAGTCACCAAGCGCACTAACAGCAAAAGCATAACTGAATGTAAGATTCGTGAGGGGCACTGGAATGAAACCAAAGAGCATTGAACAGTACAAACATGGGTAAGGGCACTATCAGATTGCCCAAACACTCCACTAGCACGTCCCAAGTGCCAAGAAAGTGCCTTCTGAGCTGAGAGGAGAACGAATTTTCCATGCTCATTCTGTCATTGGCCTCCCTACAGAGAATATGAAGTCTGCTAATTAACGATAGGCTGTGTAGCCCATTACCAATTCTCCCCAGTGATCCAGTTCTTCGATGTATTTTAATGTGGGTTGCTCAGAGCAACACAGAAGCAGTGGGAATCCTTGAGGTCCAGGAAAAGCATCTAATCTAAAAATGTCAGCAGCCAGCCTTTAGAAACAATCATGATTTTCTATACCTTTGTAGGATAGAGGCACTTGTTAGCTGCTCACTTGACCTCCTTTCTATGACCTGTCTCCTTTTGCTGTAGAAATAATAATCTAAAGTTTCCACACTTAGCAAAAATCTGAACAATGACATTGGTAGATTATTCCAACAGAAGAACACGTGTTTCCTAGCATTTAAATGGCTATCCATATGCCTTTCATTGAAGTGGGAGGAGTGTGTGTGAGATGCCGGAATGCAAAGGAAAAGAACATGACATGAATTGAGGTTTTAGACACTTCCATTGGGATCTACTGCAATAATGTAAGCAACGGAGCTTGTAAATAACTAACAAAATTAGGAGGGGAGGAAAAGTTATTCTAATTTCGATAAACAGTTGTGATTTCTATTATGGTCAGTGACAGTCATAAGCTTATGTCTGAAGAAAAAAAGATGACACCTTTGCAATGACCAGTTTGTTCTGACTTTTGAAACATCAAGCGCATGACTTCTACATTTGGCTTGGAGAGCAGATCCGATGGCCATATTATGTGATTAACTCACATAATATGGTTTACAACAATGAAAACCAGCCTGTTCACATGAAAGAAAAGGAAGAACATCACCTCTGAGATGTAAATTCTCCTGTTCAGTAATGTGATATATTTTCTTCTCCCAATCTTAGGTTCATGTATTGGCCAACAATGGCATTGGGCTTTTAAAAAGGGGTTGCTTGATTCACTGCAGAACAACTGCATACCAACAAAGCTACGTTGTTAATCTGCCACTTTGTATTACGTCTGAAAGCTGTGATATGCTGGGGAGATTTCCACCAAACATCCCACAATTAGACTAAATCACCCACAATGCAACAAAATACTCTAACACGCTGTTGTCTGGTAACTAATCTTTATAAATTTAGCTCATCTTTGCACACTAAGACCTTGTGCCTCTGACAAAGACAACATTCTGAGTGGAGCCCGCGACGGGAGCTGCGCACAATGCTCCACACATCGGAAGGGCAAGAGAGCTCAGAGTACGAGTCTGTTTATTGAAAGCTGAACTTCAGTTGCAGGATTTACTCATTCCCAATAGAATAACCACTGAAAAAAAATGAGAGCTTTGCAAAAAGAAAAAGTGCAGAATCAGGCCCAAAATACAGTTTTAATTGTACCACATTGACAGATCAAATACTTGCCTTCAGTTCACAGTGGATTTGATCTGTATTAACAGATTTGTAAAAAAACTTAAACGTGAGCTGACTTGCAGAGTTAAACAGAAACAGTTGTTGCTTATGTCCCCTAGCAATGCTGTATGGTACTTTAAATTGTTTGAAGACTAAAAAGCACGCACTGTACAAGGAGATTAAAGGGCTTCTGATCCCCATCCTTTCACACTACCCAAAAAGCATTCCAAAAGTCAAACAGCCTTTGGACACAATTGGAAGATTCTGACGTGCACGTGAAGCCACTGAAGCTTCTGATTAAACTGCCATGCTAATACAAAAAGAAAAGATAATGCACATATATCTTTTTCTATGAATGCATCAAAAGATGACTGATGGTGTTGTCAGAGGGATTCACTAAGAAAAACTTTCGAATTATATGAAAATGTGAAAACAGCTCTTATTTCCCCACCACTCACAGGGCATATTCTTAAGCTGGAGTATATTCTCATCATGCCGTTTGCTTTATCTCTATGCTCTCCACCCTTTCCAACTCCTTCAACCAGTTAGTAGCCACGCTCATGGTTTTTTCCATAAAGATTACATAATCAAACAAGCCCCACCAAAGCAGAGCTAAAATACCTTTGTGAGTCTCATCTTTTGCTCTTAATAGTTTAGCAGTCTAATGAGTCTCTCCCTGGTGGCCACTGCTTTGCTTTACAAAGTTACAAGGCTTTAGCGTCCTCAATACTTTGTAATTCCATTGTTGTTGTTCCTAAATATGTATTTACAAGCACAATAAAGAAATGATACAGCAGGGAGCAGAGCATTCCCTTTGATCTCTGGGCAACAAGAAGTTGTTGGAAGCACTACTGTTATATTCATACTTATGAAACACATATTGTTGTGTAGTACAGTATTCCTTTCTCAATGCCTGGCAAAACCACATGTCCAGAGATCAATAAAGACAGTTAAAAAATGGCAATGAACTGCCACGACGATTGCTGCTAGGGAAATGTCTAAACAAATAATATTTTACAAACACAGTATCACCACAAGATTGTACAATGCCACATACTTGGAGTACTCCTCATTTCAAGTGGCTGTACATTACACAATATAATATATCTAGATTTATTAAACAGTTCAAGCTCATTTTCATACCTTCTGGTTTTCCTTCATGTGTTATTACAACAAGGGGCTTGGTGAAGGTTTTCTTGTTGTGCATCATGGCCAAGATCATATCCACATTGAGAGAGGTGCAAGCTTCATCAGGAGGAATGCACTGTGGGTGGAAAAAGCAGTGTGTGAGGTTGGAGAGTCACCTGTCCGCCAGGACAGCTGTTCCAGCTGCACAGTTGCCTCATTATCAGTTTTACCTTATATTATTTACCAAAAAGAGGAGAACCTCCAAACAACCCCTGTGTAATGTACTGGCAAAGGTAATTCTTAGCTGTGCTTCAGGACGCAAGCTTTGCCTTCATTAAGGATCCTCTAACCTTTATGAGAGTGTTACTATTGAATTTAAATGGTAGTAATTACATTTAGTATAAAAGTTTTTTAAAAATCTGGCGGCCAAAACTGTAGCCACCACCACATGTTGATCAACAATGACAAATCATCTTTAAAAAATACATTTTAAGGGGGATGTGCATAAACCCCAAAGTAAAAATAAATTCCAAATTCTTAGAACACAGTCTTTAACAACTAATTTATAGCCATTTCCATTAGTTATAAAGCAAAGTTTGGCAATTCTCTTTTGAAACAATCAGATTGCAACATTATCTGATATTATGCATGTCTTGGGAAATTAAAGCTAACGTTATTTGTGCTTTGGATATGGATGTGATACGGATAGCAAAGATAAATCTGAACCACTTGTGTAATAAAAAGCAATTTCTATTTATCCACCTAATGAAATTTAAACAGAAACTGTAAATTATGCAGTCAAAATGCATAGCATCACAACTCTTATCTATTAAAATCTTGAGCCTAGAGATACCATGCTTATTATATCAATTCCATAGAAAACCATTTTATTCACTTCAAAATTCAGATAAAAAAGAAAAAACAAACTTATTTTCACCTAAATCAGAAGTTTAGACTTTAATAAATTACTGACCTTTGGCAGTCCTTGCGTATCTTTGTCTTTATTTGAACACAAAGTCAACTCGCAGTGAAGAAAGAGCAGTGAGGTGTTGAACGTTGGTTTAAACACAAAGCTAAATCTTTTTTTGTCCTTTTGTGCATGTGGTATCGGAAAGTTCACCTTCTCAATGCTGTAGAATTTAACAGATTCATCTTTAGGACAAATGTTTTCTATAATGGTGTAGTCAGACATTCTATCTGGATTTGAAAACGGGGAAACAAAGCACGTTTGAATGGCAAAGCCCAAGGATCTGTCAGCTTTAGTCACAGACACCTGCATTAAAAAGAAAGAGATGGTAAGATCTCAGAAATGACATTTTTAGTTCACATTTCATTAACATTTTCAACTATTTTTTAAGCAGTTTTCCAGTGCCACTTCCAATCTGAACTATTTTGAAGGCTAAATGTTAAGGGTAGACTGTCAAACTGAGGGACAGAAAATCTGTGGTTCCAAAACCAGCAGCTGTTTAATAGCATAACCGTGCACAAATACAGCAATCCCTTATCTTTCCGAAAGCAGATGAAAAAACCAGTCCAAATCAGACACGCAGTTAATGACTGTGACTGCCACCTGAGATGGCGCTGCTTCCCTTAGGCACACAGACTATAACAGAGCTGTATGGACATCAATTACTAATTCCATGTCTTTGTATCTGTTTGAAACTTTAATGACAAAGGAAAAAAAAAAAGCAACAGACACAACAGAGAACACACCCCCAGACAGGAGAGGAATGCAGAGGCAGAGAGGAGGTCATGGTCTGACATGTGGGTGGCATGCCTGGACTGGGGGGCAGGGAAGCCTCCTAAAAAGCTGTAATTTCTTGTGAAATGATCCTTTTAGTTTATTGTAAGTCTGCAATTTATATTCTTTTATGAAAAATAATTAAGACTTCCAGGGCACTGATGTTGTTCAGATGGACTGGAATGCAGACAACAAATGCTACAGAATAATTAGGAAAAAAAATTAAATGGAATTTGTAACAAATGAAGCGTGTTGCTCTTAATAAACAACAGAAGTGTTGTGCCTAACCATTAACACTGCCTGATGAAAACAGTTCCACAAGAAATAATTTCCTTCTAAGAAGAAATGTGCCTTAAATGTGTACTTAATCCGTACGTGCTGCATGTGTATTTAAGGAAGAGCCTGCCAAATTTTACTGTGGTCTATACAGAAATTTATGGATGCTATGAGTTGTGCAGTGAATAAAGGCATTTTTCATTTTTTCTCTCCCTGATGTGAGCAGCAATCAAATTAGAGATGAATGGATGTGCTGAAGTATCTAAGCAAGAAAGACCATCTTCTAAAAAGAACAGAAATAAAGACTGACGAATGAAAGTCAAGCCACAGATACTGACAGGTAAACAAGCTGATGGTGTAAACTAGATAAAAAAGAGATTATGGCAAGGAGGACAAGCATACTACAGTGTCATGAAACACCATCAGGTAAACAAATCAGGTAAATAAAAGGATGAATGATATCTCAAGGAAAGAAGAGAACTCCAGGAGGAAGGTGAGACCAAAATATGATAAGAAAATGACAGTAAAGAACAAAGAAAAAAAATGCCAAAAGATTCAAATATAAAAAACATTTTTAGCAGAGAAAGAGAAGGGGCATATAGAGTTCTAACAGATTATGACCTAAGCAATTTATTGACCAAAAACCCCAAATATATTTGTTAATAACAAAAGCAAAACAGAAACAAAAATGAAAAAAAAAAATCTGTGTCAGCTAGAAACGGAGTCACAGAAGTTCAAAACTGATACAGATTTTCCACTGTGCAAGAAGGAGAAACAGAAAAAAAAGGCTTCTGCCAGGACAGGTGATGAAGAAATCAGAACATCTGTCTGAATAAACAGCTCCAGAACCAGAGGGCTCGGAGCCAGGGGGATTCATCCCAGATCGCTGAAGGAAGCAGCCGGTTTTATCCAAATGAAAAAAATAATGTGTCTTTTATAAACATATTCTTAACTGAGCGTGACATACTTTTTGCTTCAGCTGTCTGAAGAACTTTTCACTGGGTAGAGAATGAGGAAGAGACACAACACACCGAAACAATGAAGAAAACTGCACCAGTGTCAAATGGGCCACTACGCTTATCATATGCAACGTAGGCTCACAAAGAGGAACTAACTTGGGCTAAAGAAACATGGCACAGCACTGCTTCAGTCAACACACTCATTTTCCTGGTCTTATAAGCCCATAGCTCACCACTCCTTGATTTATATATATAAACTGGTGATACTACTTCATTACCAATGTTGTATTTATTAATGCCTTTAATTTATTTATTTGAAAAATGGAAAATTCTGTTCACATGACTATCTTTAGAAATACTGACTGTATTGGTTTGAAATTCCCCAGATTTCATAAGCAACTTAGCAACACATGGAATTACTACCAGTTCCAAATTATTACCAGCACCTGAAGTCAAGGGTACCTGGCTGTTCACTTTGCTGTTCTTATTTAACTAAAGCTGTTAGATCTCTTGTGTGATAGCATTCAAAAGGATTGTAACTGGTGTTTGTAAGTGGATCAGAGAGACATCAGAATCTGTATTAACTTTGTAACCTGAGAACACTAGCATATGGAAGACGGACACTTGTAACCATTTTTTGCATGTCTACATCTTTCAGATGCGGTTCAGTCATATCACCCAATAAAACGAATCCTGAAGTCTTCATCAGGGAATGCCAGTTCAGAGCAAGAGCTCAGAGACCACCTTTAAGTTCTGCATAGAAAAGCAGATTTGGCAAGAATGACCAATTTATCTTGTAATTAAATTCTTCCATTTTGCAGGAATCCTTTGGTTTTGATCCAAAACATTGTCCTGCTTCTTACCCCACAGTTTCTGTTCTCTGCAGCCACCAAAGTACCTACCTGTCTGCCTAAAGCAACTGCAGGAGACCTTTCAACTGACAAGAACAGATTTGGCTCAGATGCATGGCCTTGCAAAATGTTTCCATTAGTTTGAAAGCCTTTTTCAGTTTGTTACCTCTACATATATTGGCCCATTCTCAGCAACAGAGAAGAGTCCTTGAGAGGGAGCAAGGAACAGATCTGTTTTGTACAGCTCCATGTTGAAGGTCACATTGGTGATGTGTGGTTCAGGAGGCCAGAACACGCCTCTGTCATCCTCTGGCTGGTGCAGCGTGCAATTAAACTGAAATGAAAAAACCAATACAAATACATCCTGAGTCAGGAGTGGTAGCTGGATAAGGACAAATTTGGAGTGTATAATACAGGCCCACCCACATTCCGTCTACTTAGTGCAGATCTTCAACAGGGTCACAAGAAATACAAGTGAGAAGAAATGTGTTAGAAGACAAATGAATAGCCATACAATTAATGTAATTTATGTGAAGTGCCTATTACAACAGGCATTTCTGTATTGTCAGGTGCGAACCCAAGAGTAACATACCACTATTTCAGGCCACCTTGAGAAAGCAGCATCTCCCTCGTCAGCATCCCCTGGAAATCCATTATCACCTGATTCCATGTCATCATCATCAAAGCCGCTGCTTTCAGCTGGTGATGACAGCTGAATGACAATCTGCACAAAAGGTATTGCAAATGCATAAAATTAGGTGATAACTGAGCACTCTCTCTTCATGGTTATTATTTTCTTCTCTCTTCAGAACAATGCCAAGGCCAAAAGAAGTGCACCAGCTAAGCAGATGGTGAAAGCACGTCTTAAACAGCCTTGTGCTGAGCATGTAAGATATTTAGAGAATGCCCCTTAGTTTGTTTCCAGAATTCAGAGCCAGCAAAGACACTAGTCTGGGTGCTGGTGTCTGAACGAGCACCCCAGCATTTCCATTCTATTTCTGGTATTTCTACAACCAACACTGAAAAAAGAAATGGCTTTCTAAAGTGATTTTTTGCAACTTAAAGTCTTCCTTAATGCACTCACGGAAAATCACTGAAAGTGTTAGGGTCACTAAAGGATTTTCTCTTCTGTCATTTGCATATTATTTTCAGAGAGGTACACCCAAAAATTTTATTTCCCTTTCTTCATTTTTCCTTTCTTTGTTTTTCTCTGAATTTCTACTGAATTCCCCCCTCTTTTTTCCCCCCTCCTTTGCACATTTCTCCATTTCTTCAGCTCAAAATTCCCGTTTTTGTTTTCCAGTGTTCTGCACTCTGCTTCTGTATGCCCTGCGGCTCCTCAGCTAGTCCCCTCCCTTCCAGGACTTCATCTTTGTTTTCTTGGACATAGAGCAACTGCTAACAAGTGACACATACACTCTTTGAGACTCCACTGCATGGTGTTTATTTTTTAGGAGAAATGCTCCCAAATTCTGGAAGATACCATACATGATTCGGAGTTTCAGTGAGTAGCCAAGACTATTAAAAGACACGATGGAGAAAGGAGAGGAGGCAAATATCCATTTTAGTTTGGGCCATAATAGAATACAGGGACAATGACAATATTTAGCTCCAGACACGTGCTATTCTGTAGTTTGGAGATGTTTCTATCCACAGTCTTGGTTTAGGACTGTTTCTAAAGTTAGGTGCTACGAACTTGCCAGTATAGAACAGTTTTAACCAGGCAAGGTCAGATCAGATTGCTTTAGCTGTGTTTGGGTTGGACCACAGGCTTTCCATCATTTGCCAAGGTTACTTCTATGTACTGGAAAGCTCAGCAAGAGAAACATGTCATTACTTTCCAACCCAGATTAGCTGCACTGTACTCAAACTCATAAGCTGAGCCAGTCTGGAAGCAGTCACTTAGAATCTAAGTGGGCTCCTTAGCATCATCACTCATATACAAGAGTCCCCTCACCATGTACATCAACTGAGCAAATATGAATCCAAATTATAAAAGAGAAGTATGCACAGATAATGTTTTTTCCTCACATTTTGAAAGCCTTTTTCACACACAATTTTGGAAGAAAAAATGTCACTTAAAATAATTCATCATATGAATTAAATGGTATCGTTTTGTGCAACCACAAAACTTCATTCCTATTCCTCCTTACAGCTACGTAGTACTGTTTATGTACGGGTGCATCAAAGCTGCATAGGGAAAGCTGGTGCAACTTCTCTGAGACTGGTACAGATGGTCCCCAAAGTTCAGCCATGCAGTTTTGTGAAAGTATTTAACTCCAACTCCTCCTTTTTCCTTTGGGATACTATCTGACCACTGGAGCACACAGAATGCGCAGCCTTCATACCTCCTTGAATACAGGGACTGTAGCTGCAACTAGGTGTGAGCTAGACAGGAAAAGATCAGGATGCCTCCTTTTTGCTAAGACTAAAGCTAACTATAACGGCTTCCTTGTACTACTATGACATGCAGCACAGAAGGTGGCTCCTCTTTGTAAAATACTCACAGAGTTAAAATAAACAATCTTGTTCAAGATATATGCTGTCTGAGTCCCACATTTGTGCAGCAAAGACTCCAAAATGAAATGGGTACCATTCATCCTAGCTTTGCAAGAGTGATCCAGCAGCGAGAGTTCTGTCCTTGTGTAGCCGCTAGCCTGAAACAAAGGCGCTTTGTAAGTGGCTGAAACACAATTATGTTAGGCTCTTGCTTAAAGTGCAGCTCAGAATACTGTTCATGACTGCTGATAGGAGGAAGTGAAGTTCATTGTACTGACATCCACAGAAGGTCACTCTCAAAACGCTGTTATACGTGACAGACAGGGAAAAATGCAACATGGAACAAAGAAAACAACAGGTTCATTATTAATCTGTTGATTAATAATGCTGACTCTGTTTGGTCTGAAATGAACTAAAAATGCGGTCTGTATCAGGCTCTTTTCCACAATGCAAATGTACACAAGCAACCTGTCAGCCGGTAGATGGTAAAGACAGATCTGTTCAGGTCTCACACAGCTATCAAAAGCAGCTTCTTTGTACTTTGGAGACTAAAAACTCAGACTGATGGTTGAATACGGTAATTTTTTGACAGAACCAACCCTGCAAATCTTTAATCAGAAATCCCTCTACAAACTACCGGATTGTTGGGAAAGAGGAAACATGACCCTGAGTTATGGCAAAGAATATCTTCAGTGTAGTTTCCTCAAACTATTTTTGGAGGGGGTTGGGTGGTGATGGCTGTAGATCGTAGAATGTTTTTTTTTTTTTTCAATCAAAATATAAATAGGAAAAATTTCTTCACCGAAAGAGTTATTAAGCATTGGAACAGGCTGCCCAGGGAAGTGGTTGAGTCACCACCCCTGGAAGTATTTAAAAGATGTGTAGATGTGGCGCTTAGGGACACGGTTTAGTGGTGGACTTGGCAGTGCTAGGTTAACGGTTGGACTTTATGATCTTAAAGGTCTTTTCCAGCCTAAATGATTCTATGATTCTATGAAATAAAATGGTCTGCCCAAAAAAGCCTGCCCAAATTTGGGAATAAGAGATCACACCAACCTGCAGAGAGTCTTTTTCTACAGCTACTGTCATGACTTTGTCATCACACTTTATTGACAGGGCTACACCAGCACTGCCCTGAACCTCTTCTGGTTCTTTATGTTTTGAGAGGGAATGCCCAAAGTCATGATTTATCAATGTATCCACTGAACTCCTGGATGGGAAGATTCCTTCTCCCATTGTGTCATGTCTTCCTCTGTTAATGTGAAAAGGAAAAGTGAGGCCATCACTTAATGCAGGATTCTTTGGTGCAGGCAGTGGGTTAGCACCCAGCAATTCTGTCAGCTCCGGAGGAAGGGAATGGTCGTCTTCATCGTTCATCTCTTCTAAAAAAAAAAAAAAAAAAAGAAGAACATTAAGTTATTCAATATTTTTCCCTAAAAGTATTCAGAACTAATCATTTCCACACAAAAAAAAGTATTATCCGGAAAGGAAGCTTTTGAAAGACATCCAAAGCAGCATCTTTGTACTTTTCAGGTAACTAGCCACAACTCCTCCACTAAGGGTTTAGTTGTTACTGAGGCATCTAATCTTGGTATATTTAGTCCCTGCTAGAAATCTGCCTCGCTAAGAGTTGAAAATAAGCTTTGAGGAATGGGCCTATTATATGCAAAAGGCAACACAGAGGTGAAAGAAACATCACATTCAGCAAATACACTATTTTAGTGCTGCTGAAATAGCCTAAGTGCAAATCATTGGGTGAAGTTCTTCCACTACCTGCCCCATCACAAATTCAGTCACTCCACTGTTGTGGAACTACTTACAGAGTGAAGTCAAATGAGAGTTAACTTTATACTGAATAAATGAGAACACTATCTCCTGGCTTACACATGTAACTGCTCAGGACAGAAATCTCAACATCTGGCCCAAGCAGATAATTATCTGTAACCCATGAGAGTGCAACTGATAAAACTCATGTGAACATAAGGCTTATCAAAACAGTTAACCAACATTTTTAGTGGTTGAAATTCAGAATTAGTGAAAAACCAGATGCAACTCCACTAGCTTCAATGGACCCGGATATCTTTACATCAGCAATGACTCCAGCCAAATAACTAAATTTTTTATAACAGTTGTATTTATTCTGTTCACTCAGACTTTTCTCGTAAGCCAGTTTTGTCTCTAAACAATTAAAATGTTCATTTATTGTCTGAAGGAAACACTATGCTCACACTTTTGGAAAAAAAAAATAAAAATCAAAGCTGGATTTATTAACTAACAAGATATCCAATTGCTGAAGTCCATTCCAGTGAACAGTGAGCATGATCAGCTGTAATGGCTCGTGAGTTGGATAAACTATAACCATTTAATTCCACCAACATATCAGGAAATAACACAATTTGCCTGGACTTTTCTAATCAAAAAACCACAGATTTTTTTTTAAACCAGCATTCACAGATATTACCAGCATTCTTGATGATGAGCAGTGAAAGTAGTGCAACCCCCAACAACAAAGCTTCAAAACTGAGAAAGCATCTTTCAAATCATCATATTCCTGGAAATACAAGATACATTTTATATATATGCTAAAAGTCCATCTTCAAGCTTACCTGTATCTTCAAGTTGCAGATGAAATCTGTTAGCAACAGGGGCTTTTGTGTAGGAAGTAACTGGACTATAGTTATGCTCATAAGCCCACTTGATCAAACTCTCATGCGATGAGGGAATATCAGGTATTACTGATTTACTCATAGTCATGGATCGTTCTGTTTCCTTTCCAAAACCAATACTATTTGATGTCTGCAAACAAAGAAAAACTTGGTTCATGATTTACCATTTATGGATACTTAAAATGGAATAGTGACACTGATTGAACATGTTTTTTACTCTATTTTACTCTACTAAATAACAACAAACTGAGAACACTTGGGAAATAAACCAAACTCTGCCACCTTAGGCACAGAACTGCTGCACAGATGGAGAAAAGCTCCCCCCTTTCTCCCAGCCTCTGCCTGTAGTACAATAAATCAAGGTAGTCAGAAACTGTTAATCCCTAAATGAGACAAAGATGTATTTAGAGCCATTTGCTATATTTTCTTCAAAACTGAGTTGAAATTACTTCTAAGGTAAGGTGAACTCAAGATGACAACTGATTTTTCAAATGCTCCCTTCATTTCTTTGATTAGAGCATTACTTAAGCTACATATGGGAAAACCTTTGTTCAAATGAGCATTACTGAAAAAGGCAAAACATAGCACGCTCATGAAGTAGAGCTGATACCAGCTAATGCTTTAAAGTCAGCTGGCACCGAGGACAGTCTGTGTCTCTCTGAATGAGCTTCATACTAGAAATGTTGTGTGCGTCCTGCAAAATGTTGAGTATGTTAAACAGGACTGAATTAAATGCTTAAAAGAGTGGTAAGTGAGAGCATGCACACTTTTATGCAAGGCCAAACTACTTAAAAGACAACATATACTTTCTGCACATAAATAAAATGTAAAATTTAATTAACAATAGAAGTTTTACACAAATACATCGATACAGCAAACTCATAAATACACTTGCCGACCTCTTAGTTTTATTATTAATTAATTATAAAAAACAGCTCAAAGTTGGCCATGGAATACAGATGAGGCACACAGTCAGTTAGCTTTCACTTTACTGTAAACATTTTGCAAAATTTCAAATTTTCTTGTCCAAATGTCCAAAGGACTATAACAAGCATCTCCAGCTGACAGAGGGGCAGTTAGAAAATATCCACTGATATTACACTTTAACTTGCTTTTAAGTGCTTGGTATCTTAAACATGTATTCACACAAAGCTAAATACATATATATTTATTTTTACAGTCACAACATTACCATTATCACTATAATAATCACTTCAACGACTACAGAACAAGCTGAACGTGCTCATAGCAGGAAAGGCATGACAACCCACTTTTCAGTGATTCCTGCAATGTGATTGAATTGCACTTTCTATATGCAGATGATACCATTGAATGCTCTACAACAAACACTTCCATTTACAGCTCTTTCGCCAGAGTCAGATTTGACTGTCACTCACAGGGTCCAGGAAACCAGGGAAGTGCTAATTTCTAAGGAACTAACCTGTAAGTGTTTCATCTGCCTACCTTTGGACACCCAAATATGTCATTGCTCTCCCTTTCTTATTTCCGTTTTCTTCCTGCTGCCACAGTGATGGTCCCAGGTTGCATCCCAACAACAGTTGTGCCGGGGATGATGTCACCCCCCTTCAGCCCACCCCAAGACAACCACTGTGAGGAGCGCTCCTTTAATTCATGTGTCAGTGGAGGTTCTTATGAGTATCCCCCATGTCAGTTCAGATTGACACAACACTCAAATTAGCAGATCTGCCAGCAAAACTGAAGACAAGAGAAAACTACTGAAAGAAGGGGAAGAAGTTTTAGGTTGGGCTGTTTTTGTTTGTGAGTGGTTGTTTTTTTTTTAAATAGACATTTAATACACCTGATCAACTAACTATGCAGAGAGGAGGTTCTCCTGCTCCATGTAGTGGATGCAGACACATTTCCATGCCTGATTACCTTCTCCATCATATAAAGTGCATTTTTTGGTTTTAAATCCCCATTGGTTTCCCTCAACGTGAACAAATCTTAATTCTCTTTCACTCTAGAATGTCAAAAGATTGACTGCACTGATCTGTTTTGCCCAGGCCGCTTTTAGACAGTGGTCATATGGACCTGCTACCCAGCATCACAGTTATCAAAGACTAGCAAAGGCCAATGAAGATAAGAAACAAAAAAGAAGCAATAGGTATCCTAATTTTAGTGCCTTATCACTGTTTTGGATCAAATAATCTTTTATTCTTCAACAGATACAAACCTGGCCATGATTTATCACACATTTCCATATAACCACACAGCTTTGGTTGGAATTATTATGCTACCCCAACTTTGCTGGATATCCCTCTCTGCTTTCCTTTTCTTTTTTGTCATGAGGAGACAGCTGAACAAATATTAGCTCACAATTTTACTGTCCTAGCTGGCACCTGACCATTTCCAGGGCTTGTTTATACCTCTCCACTCCACGCTGAGCCTGTAAATGTTCAGTCCTGCACCGCCTCAGTGAAACAAACCCGAGCACAAGGGCTTGCAGAAACAGACATACCTTCACTTGCCTGCCCTGCCGACACCTTCACACGCAGTGTATGAAACTAGGCAACCCACAGAGTCACCTGCTAACCTACTCGGAATAGAGAGAGACCATTTCAGAAACTGGTGGGCAGTTGTTCTCATATAAAGAACAGTCCCTCCAAGCTTTTGAAACCTTCACAAGTTTGTTCTATGCATTTCTCCTCTCTCACTCTTCGCCCCTCAACACACTTATTTTCTTTGAGATAAATGGAAGCTAATAGAATTTATCAAATCTTTCTGCAGTTTCACCTCTTTGTCCACTGTGCGACCTAGAGCTTTGTAAAAGGACGCCGAATCCAAGGAAGCAATGCGAACGGCAGATAGTCCACAAGCACAGAAACACATAAGCACTGCACGGGGGTTGATGTAAGGACAGACTGCAAACAGGAGCTAAACACAGCCTGGGAGGAAAGCATTGCTCGTGTATTATGTGTAATTACTTTATCTAAACTATTCCCATTTTACTTGGTTTTGTGTCCATCCTCTTTTAGAATTTCAAGAAACACAGCAAGCTGGGAGATGAGCTAGATGACCTAAAAAGCCTTCTTCATTTTTTGTCTATGAACTTAGACCTTAATAACTCACAGTCCTGGGTTTGAGGCAGCTTAGCACTAACCTTCCCTTCTCAGTTTGCCAATCCCCTCAGGACAATTCTGATTCGTACTGAGGGCAAGAAGTTAGGAAAATTGAAGTGCATGGAACCGATTCAACTAATAAAAAGAACATTGTGAAACATTACCTAATTGTTTAGTAATGTTTTTATGCATTGTCTAAATTTGGGCTTGGAAAGGTCTTCAGCTTAATAGAGATATGAACAGATCCTAAATACTGGATGTACAGGCTTTTTAATGACATGGGGGTGTTTAGTTCCCTCCCGCAGCCCCCTCTAAATAAAGGAGAACACACACACATCCAGAAAATGAAGCATCTATATAAATGAAGCAGTAGAGCAAACAGTTACTCACAAATCCTAACATAAATATACAAAGTCTTTTATATACTGACATTTCCATATATAGTATTACTTTCTCTTTTTGTTAATCTAAATAAAATGTTACCTTCTGCCACTCATTACAGGAAGAATTTTCACTTATACTTTTTACTTACACTTTCAATAATTAATAAAGAAGAACTTTAAAAAGAATAGCAGCCTTGCTTTTCTATACTCAAGTGCAGCAGTTTAGACATTTTAAAATCCTCTAGAATTCCTCTCCCTGAAAATTCATCATCCATAAAGAGGTAGCTTCATGGATATGAAATATGGTACTTTGGCTATCTCCAAGCACGAAGTGAACTAATGCACAATTCTCTATCGTGTGAAAGTAGACCCATATAGGCCTAAATATGCAGTGGTGACTTTTATGTAATAACCCAGAATGAAACTTTCAATTCAAACATTGTTTTTTGCCCGTCTGCTTACAAGTGTGGTAATCCTGGGCAACTAACCTTGACCTTTCTCTTTAAGGGCTGATTATTTAGGACCTACAGAATGACCACAACATCCTTTCCTGTCTGTAAGATAAAGATGTGTCAGGGATCAAAAGGGAATTTCATCATCCACCCTAGATAATTTTTCCATTCAATCTTCTGAGCAACACCATAATTTATTTCCTTTTAAACCCCTCACTCTCAAAATGTAGCGTGAAATCCTGCCTACCAATCTGTCTCCTTAGAAGATTTAGATCAAGCAGCCTTTGGATCCTGTCAGAATTGCCCATGCACACATTAAAAGGAATGAAACTCAGAAAAGTGAAATTCTTATGAATACAGATAGCTGGAGATAGAAAATCTTTGCGTTACCTTACTCAGAATTATCTGAGTTACTGCAAAACTGTTTGGAGGTCACTGGGTGGTCCTGAGCAAACATTCAGCTCAACTGTACAATGCACTCCTAAATGATCACTTAAGACAGAAACAGGCCACACATTTATAGGCTGCAAGATCAGTCCAACTTTATTTATTTATTTATTTCAGAACAAGGGAAACACATTTTCTTAGTAGAAATGGCGTTGAGCCACAAAGCCTGTACCAAAAATCATTCTGAATCAGAACCTCCAATTATGTGTAAGTATATAGTTTCAGAAGTTTAGCTTTAGAGATCCTGGTTTTAATTTTTTAAAAACTTATTATTTGTCATCTGAGCAGAGGTGAGGTCAACTTGACCAAACCCTTGCTGGGGACAGAAGTACTGGCAGGGAAGAGGGCTAGAGACTACTACAACCACAAGTGGAAGGAGTAAAAAAGTTTCCACTTCTAAAGGGATGTGTGTGTGTGCTGCGTACCTAGGATTATCCATTCTGCACTCACAGGCATCCTTCCAGCTTCTGAGATGAATCTGTAGATCCACTCATCAAAGTAACAGCAAAAAGGCAGATGAACATCCAACTCGGTGTTTAGGGTACTTCAACAGAAGTTTAAAAGACACAGACCTAAATCCTTGCACTAACCACCTGGCTTCTGTGACGTGCTGGTCGGTTTAATAGCCCATATATTAAGAGTAAAGGAGAAAAAAAAATATATAGTTTCTGCATTTACTCCTTGAAATGCAGTAATAATTAAAAAGAAGAGCAGCTAAGAAAGAAAACATTCAGAAATCAATATGGTCTAGCACTATATCACTTTTAAATGGATTCTGTACTGTTGCAGTATGACATCTCTCAAAAAATAAAGGTGCCTTAACTTACAATCACTTCCAGCTTTCCCTGGACATCATGCGACTTGATAACCCAATTGACAGACTTTTTACACTTGAGGATAAGTACAACGTCTCTGACAAGCTTGGCGCCTGGTTGAGATGGTTTAATGTCAACGATTATATCCACCTGGAAAGCACTGTATGTGGAAAATAGAGAGAAAGTTAGACCAGAATGCCAGAAATTTTCAGCTATCAACCTTCTTCCAATCCATCATGTTTCCACTGTCTGGCCAGCTGATTAAAATGCTGGAGATTATCCCAGGCAACACAACATGTGCAAAACAGATTGTTATTCCACATACGCTTAAATGATTTTGCATAACAATAGAAACAAATACTTTTTAGACAAATAATATTTTTGTCTCTTGTTTACAAGAAGCATGCTACTCATTTCAGCTATTATTTAGAGCAGGTCAGTTATATGACTAGCAGTTTGCTTTATAAAGTAAATATTGTTTTCTTATTTCACTGTGACAGTGCCTAAATATAGCTGTTTCAGTTTCCTCTGGCTATAACTGTATAAAAGCTCAAAATAATACCTTAAAAAAAGCAAAAAGACAAATTAAGCAGGTTAACACACAAAAAAAGCAAAAATACTATATTGGGGAGTGTCTCTGCCTAGGCAGTTAAATTGTGGAAATTACTTTGCTTAGGATCTTGCGTGTGTTGAGGAATTAAGCTGTTGTACTCAGTTTCCAAGACTTCTGGATATATACTTACTTTCAAAAGAAAAGAAAAGAAAACAGATGTCCAGCCTACTACTTGCTGGAAAATAGATGAACACGATCCAGATTTTTCAAGACCTCAGTAAAGTAAGTAGAGCAAATGGGTTTGTACCCGTCAATAACATCTCATCATGCAAAATATTAATTCAACAGAAAAACTTTTCGTTTCAGATCATCTTATGGGGCCGTATGTCATAAGAATGTGCTCATCCCAAGTAACAGGTTTTAACTTATATTCTGCACTGAGACTTAGTGTATTTTGGGACTTTCGTTTCACCTCCTGCAGTTTTACTCATGCCCAGCTCAGCTTCTGTATGTTTCATTGTGGATATAAACTTTGTAAAGATAGCTATGGATAATACATAAAATAAGAACGAAGCAAGAGGAATTTAACTTATTACTTTTTTTATTTTTAATAAAAAAACATTTAAACATTTTTCAGTTCTGTCATCTGAAAAACAAATTCCTATCGTACTATCAGCTAAAGCCAAAAGCCCAGAGGGCTTGGAGACAGGGCTGTCATTGTGTAACACGGCAAGGGACTTACAATTATGTTGATGCTAAAGAACAGCTCTGTTCAGAATGGGGCTGTAACTCACGCCACACAGAGGCAGATCATTTGGGCTTACCTACTCCTCTTCCACTACATCTCAGCACTTTCTCACTCTCCCAAGGTTGCTAGGCAAGAATATTCTCAGGCTCTGGGTTCACCATCTCGCAATGAGATAACTACCCTTCTTGCAAAGACCTGTCCTCCCACCTCTATCTCCCTCATTAGGGATGGGATGTGCTCAAATGTAAGTGCATGAGGAGCACAATTGGACAGTGCTAGATATCCAGTGTCTGCAGTACACAGACAGGATTTTACTTCTACTTTATCTCTGATGAAATTGTACTTTTCTTCTTGCAAAAGGGAAACCCATCTAAGTTTCACAGCAAATTTCTCTTCTAGCAACCATACCCAGCACTTATGAAGAGCTTTTCCAGGTATGACTATCTGAAGCAAACCCCATTCGTGTGTTCCCACTAAGACCTAGGAGAGACCAGCAAAGAATGAACGTTTTAAATGTCTTACCTCCCAAGTTTACAGTACCTTTGACAATTTAGATAATCCTCATAATGCATACAGAGAGTTAAGTAATTTTCCCTAACAACTAGTTATAAACTCTTCTGGTCTGTGGACCACTGTCAACCCTTAACATTTCTTGCAATTATCAAACTATCCCTTAAACTCAACTGGAAACTTGACAGAAAATACTCTTATGATTCTGCAGACCAACTGTGGAACAATTACCACGGACCGCAGATCACTTGCAACCTCTGGACCGCTGTTTGGGAGCCACTACCCTAGGCCTTGCTGCCAGTCATCCCTACCTATGACAGGTCAAGATTACTTTTATCCTCTCTCTCACCTCCTCATACAGTGGTCCCGTCTTAAACCCTGTCTGTCAGATGCTACCCTTATTCATAATATTCCCTTATCTACCTTATTCTTGGAAAAATTCTATTGACTGAGCAAGAAGGGGGACAGGATACAGTCCATAAGAACTGTGCTTTGCAGTCTTGTCCAGAAAAATCCTGGTTTCAAGAAGCAGAATCCAAAATCTTTACATACTGAAGAATAATTTCTATTTAAGGTAAAGTACTAAGGCCCAAGCTCTTCTTGTAAGGATGAAATGGCTACTTTCATTTGATTTTCAATAGACAGGTGAAATCTTTAGCTGTGATCTTAAACAGATTTAGTCTATTTAGATGATACTTTACCTGTATGGATTGGAATTTGGAGTGATTAGTTCAATGATATGAACTTCTCTTTCTTGGACCAAGTTAGACATAAGGCACCCCTCTGCTGTTTTTGGTTGTAGGTATCCCGCAAGGTAGTTTAAAGAGAGAAAATTCTTTTCTATGTTGCACGAGGGAGGAAAAACTTGATCTGGAGGCGGGGGAAAAAAAAAAGAAAGCATATGCACCTTTACACACAGATATCAGCTTACATGCATGTATGTACCGCATCTACTTCAGGGCGGCACTGTATTTTCTGTCATAGGTCTTTAGGTTAAAAGGTGTATCTATTATCTATCAAAAGCACTTATAGCAAATCAACATACTATTGAAAGGGAGATCACTGTTGCAATAACACAGCACATCTCTGATGTAAAATACATACTTCTAAACCGAACAGTTTCTATTTACGGATTTAAATATTTAATGAAAGAAAACCCCTACAAAGAGAAATCTGAAAACAATACTGAAACAAAATATGTGAGCATTTTTCAAAATACATTTAATTTGTTCCTTGCAGCTTTAAAAAAAGATTTCTTTTTTTTTTAATTAACTCATAGAATACTTATGTGATCAATTCCTTCTCCCCTGTTATTATAAACCTATCATATTTAAAAGATCTCAGAAAGTATTTTCCATTTCCTTACTCAATATATTTTCCTATATATTGTGTAGTCAGAGTCAGTGTTGTCTAGAAATACTGCAGTTCTCCTGAGCATGGAAAATTGAATATAGCAAGAAAAGGATGAAATCAGTTGTTGATATTAAGGAAGTCCGACCATAATATCCATAACCGAAATTAAGAAATTCTACAGTAGATATTCAATCTGTCTTTTGGTTTTAACTGCCTAGCTGATCACGAGCATTAACTAGTACACAATGCAAAACATAAAAAACAGTCACTTGGTATAAAGTTCTCATGCACAGCCTACATTGCTCTACCCCAAGAAGCAGTATTTCCATTGAAAAATAGCAATACTTTGTATTTCTGAGATAGCTTCACATATGAATTGTCACAATACACAAAAGGACTAAGTATCATGTTCAAAGACACAAAGTCCTGTAAGAATATAATTCCAAATGGCTGGCTCTTTGACATTTGCTTTACAAAGAAGGCTTTCCTATTAAGATCAGTAGCAAGATAGAAAAAAGAAAAAAATCAAATATAATGCATTATGCATGCAAAACTATGGACGAACTCTTAAAAGCTGAGCTGAGACCACTGTTAGCATTTGCTCCCTGAATAAGAGCTGAAATGTCACCCTTGAAGCGCATTTGTGTGTGGTACACGCTTTGCAGGGAGACTAGAGACTCCTGTGACCTGGCCACTGCAGAAACAATTAGGGGAGTTTCTTCTCCTGATCTTATACAAAGTAGCCTTTGAATATTAACCTTGCTGTCTTCCCTACAGAATCTATGAAAGCTGTATGAGGCTGTAACTATTCATACTGCCCAAGCAAAGCACTCCTCTAACATCTGGTATGTGCCCTGCCAGATTAGCCTTGAATGCAGCTGCAGTTCTGCCAGCTCCTCCCTCAACAGAGACTGGAAAATGATCCCAAACGGTCTACACTGAGCTTGAATTTATATATATACATACACACACAGACATAGACAGAGATACTAGGTATTTGCCTCTCAGCTGCCGTACAATTCAAGCCACAAAATAACAGCCTCTGAGTAGTTTGTGGACAATTACCACACGTGCTATTGTTTGCCATTGCAAAGAACTTGGTTCCTGCTCCTGGCACTTCCATTAAATGTCTCTGAAGCTCTCAAGAACCACTGCTCTCGCCGCTACCAGCACAGAGGCTCCCCAGCCTGGGCCTCCGCTCGGCTCGATAGCACGCTTTTCCTCTGCAGCAAATTTTAACTCTGTCACTGGCTACTTGACATACACGTTTACTTCCCCCCTTCACCAAAATGTATTTACTCTCGTCCGTGCCAGTTACCAAGATCTGGGCTGGAAAGAAAAGAAAAGGGGATCCATTTCATCTTTCTTCGCTCACTACACTTCTTTTTCAGTTTCAGGGCTGTCTACTTACTTTGGAAAGGGACTGCAGGTGCCTGCAATCAATTAAAAACTTTACTAAACCAGCCAGCAAACAGTCAATTTATGGACCCCATCTGTCTCTAACCTCCACAGGCTCCCAATATGGAATCAGACTTAATGCCTTCTTTGCCTCAGTCTTT